CGTAACGCCGTTACATGTAACTAGTTACTCCCCAACACTGCTTATCACTAGCAAAGCCTATCAAGTAACCAAGGATAAACTGCTAGATGTTAAAACATGCTAGCAATATGCTAATAGGGTTTGTGCTGTTACTGATTTTGGATTTCATGTGCTTATGTAACAGCTGTTGCTTATTTTAGTAGGTGAGCAGCCAAACTCAAGCCCCATGTTCAGTCCCGAACACTGTGTGTTCGGTTACAGTGCTGCCAGCCCTCTTTCAGAGGATGAAGAGAATGAAGAAGGGTTTAGCCCGTGAGTCTCTTCTACAAATTTAATTTTGTGCTCTTCAGCCTGATTGAGGAGGTTTAATTTGAAATCTTTCTGATTTGTCCCTTAGTTTCACGTTTATTAAGAACATTCCAAATCGTTCACAACAGTCCAGGCCTGTCTCAGCAGTGCGGAACATTCCACCAAAGACGAGGAGCACACCTGCTGCTACCCTGGTGCTTGATTTGGTAAGTTACCTTCCTAAAAGCCAGCTCAAAAGAAATACTTTGGTCAACAACATTTTGGTCAGAATGTGACTGAACTGATTGAATTTGCATGCATTTTGGTGATTGGAAATGAATGGCAGGGTCATTAAATCAGATGGGCCATTAATGCTGCCCCATTGAGAGATGCTTTAACAGTCATGTAAATGACATTGACTAGAGGACCACTGTTCTCACTGATTAGATTGAGGTTAAGAGGTGACTGGTTTGTGATACTTTAGATTTAATTTTTGTACGATTCTAGGATGAAACCCTCGTGTTCAGTTCACTCAATGTGATCCATGATGCAGAATACACCTTCAATACCCACTTTCAAGATCACAAGTACAAGGTTGGTAAAACTAGTATTTAATGTTCAAAATTAAACATGCTGGGAAAAAAATTGTTCCATGAGAGTCCAAACAGCTGATAAAAACATCACAACAATCCACACGACTTCAGTCCATCAATGAACATCTTGTGACACGAAAAGCTGCATGTTTAAAAGAAGCAAATCCATCATTAAGGTGTTTTAACAGTAAATCGGCACTTCTTGCTTGTCCATAATCCATAATATTGCTTTCACCAGTGAAAAAGTCCACCCCCTGTTGTTCTTTCACATCAAAGTCCACCCACGTTTGTTTAGAACTGGACTGTTTTCACTTGTATATGGTGCATATTTCTCTCCTGATTCAGGTGAGACTTTTTCACTGGAGGAAGCAATATTATAGATAGAGAACTCATATGTTAGCTGGAAGCAACGGTTTGAAGTTAAAAACGTTCTAATGATGGATTTGTTTCCTACAAACACGCAGATTTTCACTTCAGAAGACGTTCACTGATGGACTGGAGTGGTGTGGATTACTTGTGAATTATGATGTTTTTATCAGCTGTTTGGACTCTCATTCTGACGGCACCCATTCACTGCAGTGGATCCATTGGTGAGCAAGTGATGTAATGCTACATTTCTCCAAATCTGTTCCCATAAAGAAACAAACTCATCTACATCTTGGATGTTCTGAGGGTGAATAAACTTTAAGCAAATGTTCATTTTTGTATGAAATATTCCTTTAAGCTTCTCATACATGTATTTGTTGGAATAGTGGTTAACGTCCTGCAGCTGTCATGGAAAAGGTTTGCAGTTGTGTTGCTTTTGTGATTCATCAAACATCTTTTCACAGGTCTATGTAATCCTCAGACCATATGTCAAAGAGTTTCTACAAGCCATGACCAAACATTTTGAGGTAAACAATGTGAACATTACACTAAAACATTAAATGCCTGTTCGCACCAAGATGAATATTTGATGCGCTACGCATTTTAATTGGATTGAACAGCTGTTAAAGTGCACGGAGCGAATTTTGCCAAACAATGTTGATATTTGAAAGCACAAAACAAACACGCCCATACCCCAACAGGACCTCGCCCCTATTTTGATAACTCCGCCCCACACGTACGTACACGACCCTGGCAGTGACGATGACTGAATCTGCTGTGCCTGCCGGCCGCAGCATATTCAATCAAAAGCCAACACAGATTAGTTGTGTGAAACAAAGCAAAATCAACATAACTCACCTATCAAGAAGAAACAAAGCAACCTCGGCGTCCAATTCCAGGCCTTCCCGCTCCTCGGTTTTTAATTATTTTTTTTTTATCTGCCATCTACAGCCGATCAGCTAATATCCGTCTTGTGAACTCACTGAGTGCTCTTTTCTCCCTATCATTACTAGACTCGCCCCTTACTGCTGATTGGCAGCGAGTGTGTTTTGGGACTCGGT